CCGCGTGCACGCGGGGCGTGGGGCTGCGCAACCGGCAGCGCGGCACGGCGGGAGGCCGGACCTCTCCTGGTGCCTTGTCACCCGAGGCCCCGGGACTGAAGGGCTCGGGGCTCGCCTCGATGACCTTGGGCTGTCAGACAGGGACCCCTGTCCCGGGAATCCCAGAGTCCCTCGGCTCTGACCCTGTCTAGAATACAGAGGCTCCCACCCTTTTCTGATCTCATTTTGGAGGACGCTCAGGTTAGAGCTTTCCCATTGAGCCTTGCTAGAGGCGTTTAAAATAGATGAAGCAAAGTCAAAACAGTGTAAGATGTCAGCGTAAGAAACAAATTTTATCTCTTGTATACGTTTCTACGAGGCTAGAGTAAAAAGCCACCTTCTAGTCTCACCTTTGAAGAACCTGTTATTTTGTTCTTTTTGTTGCTACTTAGAGTTTTGTGATTGATCAGTTTTGTCTGTTACATTTTCTCTTGTTGTCCCTTAGGTTTAATATGTTGGTTCACGATTGTATAAGTGTGCTAATAGACAGAATGACAGTGTCAGATCTGCAAGAGACCTTAGAGATGAATTAACTTCCATAATCTATGTAAAGCTTAGATATGAAAAAAGATGACCTTTCCCTTCTAATTTCAAAGCACTGAGCAACAGCAATCAGTAAACTGACATGATTTGAAATTGAATGCCGAACCTGGACTAACCCCAGGAAGTCTTGTTCTCATCCTCCAGTATTTCAGGGTTCTTGTCTTGAGGCCAGACTTTGGATCAGGAAAGCAATATGAATTCTTTCTCAAGTGCTTCTAGCTTTGATTAACACTGAGTTAAAAGTTACCTACTATTAGCGCTGGGTGTAGTGGCAACCTTTGATCCCAGCACTCTGAAGACAGAGGCAGGCTGATCTCTGAGTTCCAGGCCAGCCTGAAATACAGAGAGTTCCAGGACAGCCAAGGCTACACAGAGAAAACCTATTCCAAAGATAAAAGCCAATGCAAACAAACAAAAAAGTTGCCAGTTAATCCCACAGTTTATCTAACTAAACCTCCTGCAAATAATCTAAAGGGTCACGTGGAAGATAATAAAATAATTTAGATACTTGAACTCTCAAAGTAGACACTGATAACCTTTGGACAAAAAGTAGCTGGGGGGTATTTTTTTGTGTACTTTTTTTATAAACTAAATCCCCCACCCTATTCTCCCCCTGCCTTGCTCTCCCCTCCCATACATCTATAGATATATTTTGCAAATAACTTGGACATCATGAATTTTAGCCCTAATTGTTTCATTCTGTGCCTCTTTAAGGACATTACACAGAGCTGGGCGGCCTCCCGTGCTTTACTCCCAGCACGGGTGGCAGAGGCAAGCAGATTTCTGTGAGTTTGAGGCCAGCCTGGTCTAAAAGAACAAACTCCAGGACAGGATCTATAGCTACAGAGAAACCCTGTCTAAAAAAAAAAAAAAAAAAAAAAAAAAGACATTACACAGTCTCAGAAGACACCTAAGATGACATTTAGATTTAAAAATTCCTTTGTTGTTAGAATAGGCACCTACTGCCTTCAGCCTTTAGAAGGCCAGATCCCACAGCTGGAAGTAATCTGCTGTCTCTATCTCCCTTCTTCCCTCCTCCTCTGCTGAATTTGATAGTCATCCCGCCCCCATCTCTCTCCCTCTCCATCTCACCATGTAGCCCTTACTGTGCTGGAACACAAAGAGTGAATGCTTCTCCCAAGGTGCTGGGATTAAAGATGTGAGCCAGCACAGCGGGCAGGGCCCATTTTTGTAATAAACCTCATTTCTGAAGTGAATTGTGTATTGACTTTCTTTTCAGGGACTGATTACTTCCCCATAAAGAAAATCTCCTTTTCCGATTTAGGATACAGTTAAGGTCCACACATGCTTACATCTCAGTCTACATCAGCTATCCACTCTTTAAAGCATTTTAAAAATAAGGCTTCTTTTTATGTGCGGGAATGTTTGTATGTATGTGTCTATGTGCACCAAGTGCTTGCCTAGTGCCTGAGGAGGCCAGAGCAGAGTGTAGAATCCCTTGGAACTGATACTGCCAGTTGTGAGCTCTGTGAGTACTGGAACCAACCTTGTTGCAAGAGCAACAAGTACTCTTAACCACTGAGCATCTCTCTAGCCCCTCCTAGCATTTTTGAAGGCTAATCCAGTTGTCTTCAGTTATTCTGCAATATGATTCTCCTGATTATTCCCTTGTGATCAGAGGAAGTGCCTATATTTTTAGGCCAGATGCCACTAAAGTGATGCTGTGTGCCTTAGGCATCACCTCAGGAAATTTTGCCTATTTTGTGTGATGGTAGGTTGACCCATTTAATTATGATGGTGACTGTCTTACCAATGAAAAAGAGACAGTTTTTTCTTAAATTATTATAGAGGTATATCTTGTTCCCTAGCATATTCCTTGGCTGTCAGACAGGGGCCTCTGTCCCGGGAGTCCCTCGGCTCTGACCCTGTCTAGAATACAGAGGCTCCCACCCTTTCCTAATCTCATTTTGGAGGACGCTCAGGTTAGAGCTTTCCCATTGAGCCTTGCTAGAGGCGTTTAAAATAGATGAAGCAAAGTCAAAACAGTGTAAGATGTCAGTGTAAGAAACAAATTTTATCTCTTGGAATTAGGGACTGGGAACAATTGTAGCGGCCCAGGACAGCAGAAGAATCACTTGCCGTGAATTAAATTTAAGCATTATTAAGATTTAGTTTCAGTTTGTACAACAGTGCCTATAAGAAGTAGAGTAACACTACTACTAATAGAGTTTTTCAGAATGGTTTCTCTGTATAGCCCTGGCTGTCCTGGTACTCTCTCTGTAAACCAGGCTGGCCTTGAACTCAGAGATCCACCTGCCTCTGAGAAGAAAATTAATTTAGAAAAAATAAGGTGTATTAGGGAAGAAATAAATAACAAGCTGGGCATAGTGGTCCATACTTGTACTATCAGCCCTTTTAACTGTCCCAATTTCAAGTCCAGCCTGAACTACATAGAAAATTTTAGGTCTCATGAGACCGTGTCTCAAAAAACATAACACAATTATGATCTTGTTATTATATAGTTATAATTAATTATTATATTAATTATAGATATACTTAATAAATGTGACGGTGTAGCCAAAATCAAAAGAACTTATAACATGGGGCTATTTGCAGAATATTGTAGTTTATTTGCCATTTCCTACAGGTGTGCAAATGTAATGGGGCAAGGCCTGGATTTTACAGTCTGAATGACTCAGTGGTCCTGCGTTGTTACTCTCAAAGTGATCCCCTGTAAATATACTGTTTGAACTGCTATCTTTCTTAGTTTTCAGAGGAATCAGAAGAAAAGTTTAAGGTTAGCATGACATTGTTTTTTTTAATAGCTAATGATCTATAAACTTCGGATTATATAAACCAATTTCACTTAGTAAAAAGATAAAGTGGCCTGCTGATATAACCCAGTGATGGAACTCTTGTCTAGCATGCACATTGCTCTGGTTTGACTCCTATGCCCACAAGGGAAAACCTGATGTATCCTTTCATTCAGTTTAGTAATAAAAATGGAGAGGCTTTAAAATAAATTCACTGTAGGGTGTGCAGTGCACACTTTTGATTTCAGCATTCACACAGTGGAAGGAGAGAACCAGCTCAGCTCCAAGAGTTGTCCTCCTGTTTGCGTACTGAGATAAATGAAGGCAAGCTTAAAAATATTTTTAAGCCATGTAGCAATTGAGCAGGTAAAGGTGCTTTCTGCACTAGGGAAGCAGAGGCAAGCAGTTCTCTGAGTACAAGGCTAGCCTGGTCTACATTGATAGACTTTGTCTCGATAAACAACACCAAACAAACAAAATTAGCTAGCCAACCGAAATTCAGATTTTATTAAAAAGAAGAGCCTTCGCAGTCATATAATACTGCATTCAATTTTCAGGTAAGAAATCAAGCCTCACTGAAGACATTCAAGCAAAAGGCGGGGCACTTCCTTTTCCAGAACAGAAAAGAAACTCATGCATCAGAAAAGGTTTGCGCTTGTTGGCTGATAAAGTCTACCTTTACTCTTAAGTTCTCTGCTTCTCTGAGATGCTGATTAACCGCAAAACTAACGCTGTTGCTATCGTCATTCTCAGACCTAAGTGAAAGCTGTCCATTGTCTCCAAATGACAGGGGTAGCCAGAAAGTCACCCTGTCTTAATATTTGCCTCTGTAATAACAAGCCAATAGAAGCGGTCTCTGGAAATCAGCATCAGCTATAAAAGGATAACCAGAACTAGAGAGATGGCTCAACAGTTAACACACTTGCTGCACTTCAGAGGTGTCTGCAACTTCAGCTCCAAGGATCTCTCATCCTCTTCTAGCCTCTGAAGGCACCTGCACTCACATGCACAGGCACACACAAAGGAGGAGATTGTTAAAGACATACTAAACAAAACAAAATCACTTAGCTGGGCACTTAGCAAAATCATCCTTGACTAGTAAACAGCGTGGGCGACATGAGACCTATTGTCACCAGTAGTGACAGAGGAGTGTGAGAGGATTGAGACCTCCCAGTGTACCAGTCCCTGACACATTTAAAGATGTGCTGTATCATGCTACTCACCTGTTGCTGAAAAAGTCAAGAATTTTAACCTGAGGAAGCACAAGGTTAGACATAGGGAAAAAAACCAAATTTTGATTATTAGTTATCATATAAGTTTCTAAGGAAATCAGATGTGTCATTTTCAGCTTCAACTGTCGAGTCTGGTTTGTAATGAGCCTTACAGTTGGCAGTGTGTTCTTAATAAAGCAAACATGTTTTATTCTCAAATTTTAAAGTTCTCATCAAACAGTCACTTCGTTTACTGCTTATTTCTATGCAAATTATATTACCAAGTCTTAGGCCTTTTCAGGTACTTTCCTTTCTTTATGTAGCTTAAAAAAGTGTATGTCTGCCTCATGTATGCAAATACTCTTGGCAGCCAGAGGAGGGTGCCAGATCCTCTGGAGCTGGAGTTACAGGTCCCAGTGAGCAGCCCGATGGCATGGGTGTTGGGAACTGAACTCTGCTTATCTGGAAGGCCAGCAAGCACTCTTGACTTACGAGCATTTCTCTAGCCTCTTTATTCTGAGGGTATTACTGCCTCACATAGAGTTGTGACATTAGAAGTCACACGTGCCCTTTATCCAGCTTTGCACAAGAGTAACATCTTGCAAAGCTAGAGTGTAGGTGACCTAGGATACAGATACCAATATAGTCAAGATACAGTACATTTCTATTTCATAGGTCTCTTATGTAGTAACACCCACTCCTATTCCATACTCTCTTCCTTCTATAGCCAACTGCAACTACTACTATGCTCTGCATTCATGTAATTCTCTCATTCCAAGACTATTTCAGCCAGGCATGGTGGTGCACATCTTTAATCCCAGAACTCAGAGTCAGAAATAGGAGAATCTCTGGGCTTGAGGCCAGCCTGCTCTATATAATGAGTTCCAATTCAGTCAGCACTGCATAGTGAGACTCTGTCTCCAAATAAAGAAAAAAAGAGTATTTCATAAAATCATATTTAATCTTTTAGAATTGACTTTTTTCTTTCCATTGATTATTTTTAAATCAGGTAAATTGATTGCTCCCAGTTTAGTCTTTATTTAGCTACTCTAGTAATTAATTAACACCATCTTACCTATATAAGAAATCTTGCTGAGACCTTAGTAAGACTTGCATTTTGTATATTAGTTTTGGGGAAAACTGACGTTTTTATTATATTGAGTCTTTTAGTCTATGAACATAAAATGCCTCTTTTTTTTATTAAAAATTTTTGGCCAGCTGATAGTGGCAGATATCTTTAATCCTAGCACTCGGGAGCAGAAGCAGGCGGATCTCTGTGACTTCAAGCCTGGTATACTGAGTGAGTTTCAGGACAGGCTCTAAAACTACAGAGAAACTCTGTCTCCAAAAAAAAAAAAAAAAGGAAATGTTTTCATTTAATATAGTTTGACCATTTTGTCTCCCCCAAATCTTCTTTACCTCCTTAACCTATCCAACTTTATCTTCTCTTTTTCAAAAAATGAGAAACAAGCTGGGCTGTGGTGGCTCATGCCTTTAATACCAGCACTCAGGAGGCAGGGGCAGGAGGATCTCTGTAAGTTCCAGGACAGCCAGAGCTCTTACAAAGAGAAACCCTGGCTTGAAAAAAAAAACAAAACAAACCAAGAGAAAGAGAGAAACAAGCCCCTAGAGAAACGAAAATCAAAACAAAGAGGCAAAAAATGAATAAAACAAAACTATTCCAAAACTAAGCAAAAAGAAGCAAAAAACTCCACAGAAATAGTATTGAGTTCATCTTATTGTTGTCTAGTCACTGCCTCTCCATTTTGGGGGTTCTGATTTTTTCTATAGTTTTCAAGATCTGAATGTTGTACATGTTTTGAGAGGGTGACCTCTAAATCTGTCTGGAAGGGAATCGTGGCCATTAGTATTGCATTGAATTGCATTGTGGATGTGCTTGTTGCTAGGTGTAGAAATGCAGTTTGGCTTTTGTGTGTCACCAAAACCTTGTGGGCTCCCATATTGGTTCTCGGAGTTCTTTCTAGGTTGTTTGGGAGTTTGTGTCATCTCAGACCAGGCTAGATCTGTGCCCCCTTCCAGCCTTTTTGTGTTGTATTTCCCTTTCCTGCTTCACTGCACTTAGTGATGTTCTCCTTGTACCTCCTAGCAGATATCTTTGTCTACAGCCTTTTGAAATAGAGTCTCAAGAAGCCCAGGCTAGGAGCTGGAGAGATGGCTCAGCGGTTAAGAGCACCAGCTGCTCTCCCAGAGGACCCAGGTTCAGTTCCCGGCACCCACGTGGTAGCTCACACCTGTCTGTAACTCCAGATCCAGGGAATCTGACACATTTGTGATACAAAATGTACATAAAATAAAAAAATAAAGTTAAATAAATATTTAAAAAACAGAAGAAGACCAGGCTGGCCTTGATTTTACAAAGCTGATCCTCCTGCCTCCACTCCACCTCCCAAATACTGGGATTACTCAGACATGACACTCAGCTGCTTGCTTACAGTCTTACTAACAAGTATTGTCTTCCAATAGGAATGTGGGTTGAATCCCATAATCCCCAGCACTCAGGAAGCCAAGGCAGGAGGAACATGGGTTTGAGACAAGCCAAGCTACACAGTGAAACCTTGTCTCAAGGGGAAACAAGTATCTCAACAAGGAAAAACAAAAACAAAAAAAAAAAAAATACTTTTTCCGGGGGCTGGAGGACTATAATTTTATATTAATGTGGAGTTCATTGAGTCTGTGCTGCTTGAATTTCTAAGTTTATGCCTTTGGCCAAATAGGAGACCTATCAATCATTATGTATCTCCCTGACTGAGGGGAGTTATAATGTGCCTCATTACCACTCCCTATGTGGCCTCTCCTATTCACCGCGGGGAGAAGGGTAGGAATGCAATCCTGAATCTCAGCCAGGCCTTTTGATAGTGCTGCAGAGAGGACAGGTACTTTAGTCCTGCCAGTCTCTTATAGGTTTCTACTGATATGTTGTTGTCTTGTCCTATCCCTGCTGTTGGGAATGAAATCCTGTTTTATTCGCCTTCTCTTGACACCACCCTAGTACAAGTATAAGAGTAGCTCATTGAAGCCTCTGGAGGGTAAAGTCTAGGCTTCCCATCTGGCTTAAGCTAATGATATGATGGCAGGGATGTGGACCATTGGAATTTTTGTTGTTTTCTCTTCATTTTTAACGATAGTGTTTGCTAGTACGGTAGTTCAGATAGATATTGTGTGTGTATATACATATACACATATATACGGATATATACATTTCTTTTGCTGATTTTGTTGTTGATGTTTTGATGAGACTAGGTTTTGAGGGCATCTTGTTTTTTATTGGTCACATTTGGAGGTTGCCAGTGTCTCCAGTTTGAAGTCTATAAAACAGAAAGCACACAAAGGATTCATCTGTGAGATTATGGATGGTTTATGATTATATACAATTAGAAATTTATAAAATATAAACAGCTATCTCTTTGGGTGTCTTAAAAATAATTTATGAATTGACAAGTATTTTTTTAACTTTGAAATCAGGTGATTAATAAACATACTGAAAGAATATGGCTGCACAGATACCAGAATCTGACCAGATAAAACAGGTAAGGCACTATAATTAAGGATCTTGGCTAGATGTGGTGTTGCCCATCTTTAATCCCAGCACTCAGGAGACAGAGGCAAGCTCATCTCTCAGAGTTCAAGGACCGTCTGGTCTACATGGTGACTTCTAGGACAGCTGGGCTATGTAGAGATACTATCTCAAAGGGCAGTAGAGATGGGCCATCCTGGGCTACATGCTTGTGGGTAGAATTATCATGAATTAAATTTTTACTCAAAACAAAGAATACATGCCCTCAAACCATATTTTAAAACATTAAAATGTATGTTTGGTTGGCAAAGCATTTTCTGCTTTGTTTTTGAGGCCGCAAAAGCATCTTGTTATGTTGTCTTTTGGGCTTCTAGGCCTTTAGACTCAGGTGATCCTTATCCTCGGCCTCTTCAGTAGCCAGGATATCAGACATCACTCCTCTGTAGCTGGCTGTAAAAACTGAGTTGGACAACAGGTGAGGAGAACAGTACAACTAGAAAGTAAGACCGTATGTTGTGCATTAAAGCTACTTAAGTCAGCAGAAGACTCCAGATGAGGAAGGGGTGGAAGAAACGGTGCGCCAGGCTAATTGTCTGAATATCCGAAGTCTCCAGTCATTTTGGCTGGAAAGCTGGGTCTTAAAACACCTCTTGTTTCCAGTTTAAGGAGTTCCTGGGAACCTACAACAGACTCACGGAAAGCTGCTTTCTGGACTGTGTCAAAGACTTCACCACGAGAGAGGTGAAACCTGAGGAGGTATGCAAAGGTCGCTCACTGAAACTTCCCTGGGAGTCAGAAACCACAGGCTCCGCCCAAGCATTTCCTTTGTTCCTACTGACCGGGCCACCATTTACATGCCATTGCTTAGAGGAACCAATCAGTCATGACCCACGGCACCAAGATTAGTGATGCCGCATGGAACTTGATGGTCACACTGCATCGGCAGACTTTTCATAGGCTAAGTATGGGATGGCCAAAGTGGGGTTCCACAGCACATGTTCTTTAGGTGACAGTGCTAAAGAAGCTTGGCCCAGCTCTGCTCTGGCCCTGAGACTCTAGATTGGCTTTAGAAAGGGGAGTGGGAATGTGGTGGCACATAGCTCACGTGTGCACCACCGAAGCCCAGTCTAATCGGCATCTCAACTTTGAGTGTCCTTATAAAGATGTTTGTGTATCTGCTGAGAGTGACACACTTCTTCCAGTTGAGAAGTCAGTAAACATTCGTGCCAAAATCTAATTTATTAGATAATTTAAATTACAAAGTTTAGGAGATACCAAGTATGATACTCATTTTTTTAAAGAAATACGTTTTAGCTATTCCTTGCCAATTTTATACTTGTAGACAATGGAGTTGATCCTGTGATACTTTATCTATAGCAATAAAATTTCCATATTAAGTAACACTAAGTAGAATGTTTTGATATAATTTTAAGCAGGAAAAAGGATGAAAATTAATTGTAAAGCCCCTCTCCATAACAAAATTTTTTAAAGTCCCTTTTTCAAAATGGGATAGATATATTCAGTGACCAGTCATGTCAGGTTCCCACTGCACAGATGGTCAGTGGGACTGAAGAACAAACCCAACTTTCAGTCCCTGCCTCAGAGGAACAGCACATGCCAGATCCTTTCCCAGGCAAAAGTGATTCTTGCTATCTGAATATCCAGAAACTTGAACTCAGATCTATCATGAAAAAAATTAAAATTTTGACAGGTTAAAATTGGGGAAAAAAATAGCTTTATTACCCTCATTCATGACTGAGATGTGTCCTTTTGCCCACAATCCATCCGTTCTTTTTTTTTTCTTTTTTTTTCCACAAGAAACACTAAATAGATTATCCATCCATTCTTACCACCTAATGTTAACTTCTCTTGTGAAGCTTTGTATTACCTGCAGTTATCCATTTACATATATATACACATATAGGTTATACTCTAGGGTCTGCATGTGAGTCTGGGTCACTTCAGAGATAGTAAAAAGAAAAGGGTTGATGGTAGGTGAGGTTAAGCATGCGTGGAACCCTAGCATTTGGGAGGCTGAGGCAGAAGATTCTGGTATTCCAGACCAGTCCTGACTGCATAACAAGACCTTGCTCAAGAGAAAAGTAAAGGTTGTGAATTAAGAATATGCAGAAACAAGTTTCTCATTAACAAAGGAAGAAACCTTCTACTGGGTATACATTTGGACCTTGAGTTTGTAGGAAATCTGGTCCAGACCTTTCATGAAGGCAGGGCACACCATTGCTTCTGTGCCTGCAGACTAGTAGGGAATTCATAAACTTTAGTTCTAGCCAGTGGATGAAAGCATAAACAGTTTAAAGCTATGATTATTGCAAGCCAAGGATAGCATTTAATTTGCAGATCTACCTAAAGAATAGCAAAGTTCCCAGTGGTGGCTCCTTTAGAATACAAGAATGTTTATTTTTGTGTTGCCTTTTGGACCTTCCCCTTGTATTTCTAGGTTACCTGTTCAGAACATTGCTTACAGAAATATTTAAAAATGACACAGAGAATATCCATGAGATTTCAGGAATATCATATTCAGCAGAATGAAGCCCTGGCAGCCAAAGCAGGACTCCTGGGCCAGCCCCGGTAGAAAAGTGCCAAGGCACCGATGTGCACTGAAAGATTGCCAGCAGCTGCGGCACTGGAAATGAGGCTTCGTCTGGGAGAATCCCCTGAAGCACAGCAGGAGTGGTGGTCAGCCATCTGTCGTGACTACCTGACCAATGGAAACCACCGAAGAAACCAAAATCACTGTTCACCAGAAAGAATCAAACAGAAGGCCTTACTGTTGAGTGAAATGGTAAGATGATGCAGTGTTGTTGAGCCTTAAGACTCAGCTGCGTGGTCACCTTGATACAAAAATAAACCACTGTTTCTTTCTTTGTGACTGTTAATTTTAAAAACAAAACGTGTCCAATCATGTATGAGATAGAAAAAGTTTATTACCAGAAGTAAAATAAATGAAAGTATCACTGAGCGGTTGTTTTTACTGTACAGAACACACTATTCTGTCTGGGCTGTGATGTGTTGAGATGCTTCAGTCAGGATCATCCTTCAAGTACTTCTGTTCATACATGTCTGCCTCAAGTTGCTGGTAAATACACAAAACAGTTACATGCTAGTCATTCCAAGGCATGGGTACTCTTCCTTGCTGCTTTCATCACATTAGATAGTGCACGTTTTATTCTGGCTGCACTTTAAAGACCCTTAGGCAACATCCCTTTTGAGACTAGCTCAGAAACGTTTATGACTGTATGCTCTAATACAGCCTTACAATTTGTTTAAAAACCGAGTCCAGGCTAGTGAGGGCTCAGCAGCTAAAGACACTTGGTACCACGCCTGATAGCCTGAGTTCCATCAGCAGCAACCACGTGGTGCAAAGAGAACTTTGACTACCCAGTTACCTCCTGCCCTTCACCCATATGCCACGGTGCCTGTGCGCGTGCACATACACACACCCCAACATGAATGGTTTGAGTAGAAATAACATACAGCCAATGTGACCAGTTGAGTAAAATGAACCAGAGTTGAATTTGTATCTTATGGCTAATAAATTCTGAAGCAGATTCAACATTTGCAGAAAATTCTAACGAGTAAGTCTAAGTACTTTGTTTTTGTTTTACCCAAACTGGCAAAAGGAAGAGCTTCTAAATGCACTTATCTGCTACCAGTCTAAAGTCACATTGCAGAGCACTGTTAGCCCTGTATGTTAGGTTTACAAAGCTATTTCTGTGTTAACATTAGTGACAAGTATCATTCTGCTTTAAAATTGAAATGTTGAAACACATACAAAGTACATAAATTCGCTATAATAGAACACAGAAAATTAGCTAGTCTTACTTTAATGAAAGAGTAGAACCAGAAATAGATATTACTTGAGAACCTTGGGAAGTTCACAACCATAATCATTATTTCTCTGTAATCAAGTTCCCTTGGTTATATAAGGTTTCACAAGGATAATTAAGTACTTGCTCACCTGGCAGATAAGGGGAATTCTGTACAGTAGCATCTGAAATACCTCAGGAGGGAGTATGTGTTTGTAAAACGTCAGGAGTTCCTTGGGTTGCCCACACACTAAAAGGGCATTGGTGAGATGTTCAACCCCTATTCCGTGCTCTCCTGAAACAGATTGGTACATGTTAAGCAAGAAAGAAATTGAAAGGGTTTTTATTTCAAAAAATTATTGTTTTTAATAATTACAGGGAGTGGTCTATGAGTATGTACACGAGTACAATGTCTGTAGTGGCCAGAAAAGAAGTCCGATTCCCTGAAACTAGTTTTGTTTGTTTTGAAGTGGGGTCTTTATGTAGTCCTGGCTTGCTATGTAGATCAGGCTGACCTCAAACTCACAGAAATCCTCCTGCCTCTGCCTCCTGAGCATTGGAATTAAAGATGTGCACCACCACACCTGACCTTCTGGAACTGGAGTTACAGATGGTTGTGAGGCACCCGATGTAAATGTTGGTTGGGACTAGAACTGGGGCCTCTTAGGGGCTAACTAGTGTTCTGTCTGTAGCAGAACAGTAGGCACTCCAACTGCTGATCATCTCTCCAGACTTTAGGCAAAATTTTAATACTCTTTAAAATGTATATTCTACAAATTATGAAGAAAGCAGCAAGCATTAAAACGTAAATACATATCAGCCAAGGGGTGCACACTTCTTTATTCCCAGCACTCTGGAGGCAAAGGCAGGCGGATCTCTGTGAGTTCGAGGCCAGCCTAGTCTAGAAGAGCTAGTTCAAGGACAGGCTCCAAAGCTAAAAAAAAAAAAACAAACCTAATGGCTTTGATGAGTAAAGAGCGCAGGTGTGGGGGACACTAGGCATCTGAATAATTTATTAGATTACACAAGTTTACTTTAGGTGTGCACACTTGCATTGGGAATGCTCTGTTTGGGGGCATGGAGGGTGGCCATGCAAGGTTTTTTTTAATATTGTAGTCTTCATTAGTATGAGGTAGACCATCCATGTTTGGTAAAGTATGAGAGATGGAACATCTGGTGTGTTCTATTTTTTTTAATGTATTTGATGTGTATAGGTGTTGTCTGCATTTGTGTCTTCACAGTATAAACATGGTATCGAAGCCAAAAGAGGACATTGCATTCCCCTGGGACTGGATAGAGTTAGATGGTTGTGAGCCACCATGTGGGTGCTGGGGATGGAACCCAAGTCCTCTGGAAGAGCAGCCATCTCTGCAGCCCCATTTTGGTTGTTTTGAGGAAAGGTCTCACTGTGTAGCCAGCTTTGCTGGCCTGGAACTCCTGCCTCTGTGGCTAAACTTTTAAAACTAACTGTATTATCAAAGCACCAAACAAGGCTTAATATAACATCAGTTACACATTTGGATGAAAAAAAGATTTATAAACCTTTTTTTTTTTTCCAAGACAGGGTTTCTCTATGTAATAGTCCTGGCTGTCCTGGAACTCACTCTTGTAGACCAGGCTAGCCTCAAACTCATGGAGATCTGCCTGCCTCTGCCTCCCAAGTGCTGGAATTAAAGGTGTGCACTACCACCGCAGGACTCTAAGCCACTTTTGGGAAGCTAAAAAAAAATTGTTTGCATTTTTTGTCTCAATCATTCCCAAATTTGTACCTTACCTACCTAGAAGCTTAAACTAACACATGATAGCTCTTTGGGAATAAAATGTGATAAAAGTATGTAGTTTTGTGATAGTACCATAGATGTTCTAAAATAATTTCACCAGTTCTGAGACATCATTATTAGATGATGTCATTGTCACGTGAACACTGAAGAGTGTACTTGGTATAGTCTACTGCATGCCTAGGCCTAGAATGTACATACAGTGCACACTCATGTCCAGTAAGCTCTTAACATAAAGAGCCTGACATTTTCCCCTTTTGACTAAAAATTACAATTCAAATTATAACTCCTCACATCTTCAATAAAAGCTAAACTTGGGAGGTTTTGTCCATTTTAATTTGCCCGTGTCCAGGAAGGATCCAGGTGGTTCTATGTGAATGTGTCACCTCCATGCAGTAGCAGGATTTGAACGTAAGTTCACCACTGAGCTACACTGTTGGCACGTGCACAGCTAACAAGTACCCTAACTTATGAACCCCTACTTTATACAATTCGAGGACTCCTGTTTAGGAAAAGTACACAGAATTATGAATAAAAAGATTGCAGGGGCTGGAGAGATGGCTCAGTGGTTAAGAGCATTGATTTCTCTTCCAAAGGATGTGGGTTTAATTCCCAGCACCCACATGGCAACTCACACATAACACACATGCAGGCAAAATGCCAGTGCACATTAAATAATTTTTTAAAATTGCACTGGGACTTCATAAAGAAATGGAGATGTTTAGCATAACTTCCACTAGCTTATGTAAAGTTACTCTTGATATATAATCATGTCAGTTCTGACTTCATTAAAGTTGAATTTTAGTTCATTTAAAAATGACTGAGGACTGGAGAGATAGGTGGCTCAGAGGTTAAGTGCACTGGCTGCTCTTCCAGAGGTCCTGAATTCAATTCCCAGCAACCATTTAATGGCTCATAACCATCTGTAATGAGATCTGTGCCCTCTCCTGGCATGGAGGTGTACATACAGGAGGAATGTTGTATACATAATAAATAAATCTTTAAAAAAATGACTATCCAAGGCGGTGGTGGCGGCTTTAATCCCAGCACTTGGGAGGCAGAGACTGGTGGATCTCTGTGAGTTTAAGGCCAACCTGGTCTACAAGAGCTAATTCCAGGACAGGCTCCAAAGCTACAGAGAAACTTTGTCTCAAAAAATGAAAAAAATGGGAGGGGGGGCGGAAATGGAAACTTTTATAATTTAATAAAATTTACAAAAAAAAAATGAAAAAAAAAAAAGAAAAAGAAAAAGAAAGACTATCTGGAGGCTGGAGAAATGGCTCAGTGGTTAAGAGCAGTGGTTTCTCTTCCAGAGGACCTTGTTTGAATCCCCAGCACCCACACAGTGGCTCAGCCTTGAGTAACTCCAGTTCCAGATCTGACTCCCCTTCTGTCCTTTGAGCATGCACATGCATGTGGTGTGGCATCTGCACAGATATAAGTAAATTAAAAAGAAAAAAACAGGTGATGTGATATGCAGGGAGATTGTGAAACTTGAGGAAAATAACGTACTGATCGTGTGTGATCTAACAGCTTGCCTGAAGATCAGAGTTCAGAGGTAAACCAACAGTTACCCATAGAGGCCAGGCAGGGGTGGCACACACCTTTAATCCCAGCGCTCAGGAGAAAGAGGCATCTTTGTGAGTTCAAGGCCACACTGAGCTACAGGAGATTGAATCTGTCTAAAAGAGACAGAGTTCACACAAAAGTGATCCCAGCTATGAGATTGTCTCTGTCTAAAAGAAACAGAACTCACACAAAGGTGATCCCAGCACTTGGGATCCCACGTCTTTAATCCCAGCACTAGGGAGGTGGAGACAAGAGTGATATGGCTGGATAGAGAGAGGAATATAAAGCAGGAGGAGACAGGAGCTCAATGCAGTCTGCGGATTTGTGGAGACAGGATCGCCCCTTCGGGCTGAGCATTGGTAGAAGGAAGTACTCTAGTGGTTGGCTACTCTGCTACTCTGATTGTTCAGCTTTCACCCCTATATCTTATTCCAGGTTTTTATTATTAAGAACAATTAGAATTTGTGCTACAGAAAATACATTTTACTTAATAAATGTAAAGCTTACTCTCCATCACTATCAGTGATCTAACTCACAGCAGATCCCTTTCCCTGGTTGTACTCAGCACCGAAATTAAGAAGTCATTGCTACATACACTGTTCATACAGAGCGCATATCACCTACCGTCACTAACAATATTGAGATCTCAGGTGCTTCTAGAATTAGGTAAAAGTTAAAGCAAGTGGTCATGAAGTATAGGTCCCTCTTGGCCCCACAGTAAGTATAAATAAAGTTTGACTATCCTGTAGCTTACTAGGTAGATCAAGTTGTCCTTGAACTCAGAGAAATCCTCCTGCCTCTCCCTGCCAAACTCAGGATTAAATGCATGTGTCACCATCTCTAGCAGGAAAATTTTTATAATGCATTTTAGGTGATCTTTTGGAGACTCTGTAGCCAGTCTAGCCTCAAATTCACAGGTATTTCAACTCTGCCTCTTGAGTTCTGAGATTACAAGTATGTTCTACCATACTCAGGTTAAAAGTTTTGATTATCAATATTTGATAATTCAGGAATTTCATCTACTGAGTTTTTTTTAAAGATTATTTATTGTGTATACAGTGTTCCACTTGCATGTGGCCAGAAGAGGGCACCAGATTATATTACAGATGGTTGTGAGCCACCATGTAGTTGCTGAGAATTGAACTCAGGACCTTTGGAAGAGCAGCCAGTGCTCTTAACCACTGAACCATCTCACCAGTCCCCTCATTTACTGAGATATTTAAATGAAGTTAAACTTGATATTTGTCTTGGTTTCCCTATTGACATACTTTTCAGGTTCAACAAGCAATGCTAATTCTAACATGGAGGTGGGGACAGTAACACCAAGACAAGATTCGGAGACAGCTTCTTACAACTGCAGTGAGTTGGTTACCACATCTAGCCAATTTACCTGATACTAGATACTAACCAGTGTTTCCTTCTTACTCTCCCTTTCTATGTAATAGTTCAGGCTAGCCTCAAACTGAATCCTCCTGCTTCTGCCTCTCAAGTACTGGGTTTATAAGCATATGCCAACATGCCTAGCTAATTAAATAGTTTTCTGAAGAAAAATGATTTTAAAATTTACAAAATACCTGATGTGGTGACACATGTCTTTAATCCCAGTTTAAAGGGATTAGGCAAGTGGATCTCTGAGTTTGAGGCTAGCATGATCTACAAAATGAGTTCCAGACCAGACAGGGCTACATGGTGAGACCCTGGTGGGAAAACAACAACAAAAAGTCAAAACAAACAATCAAAAACTTAGAATGTTTTTATTCTTACCTCTAGCTAAACAAAGTTTTCCCATTTGTACCTCTTGCAAAAAAAATTCTTGTAGTTTCTCCTTTGCTGGGTCCCATAACTAAAGGATTTATAAAATATGTAATGATGAGTAATGAATATAAGTACATAGTTACTGTGAAATTAATCTTTTCTTTTAAAGTTATAGAACCCTAAAGTAACTCTGAGGCCTCTCAGCCTTAGTGCTTTCCCCCCTCCCCTGGGAACCAGGAATCTAACAATTACCCACACACGTACTGAAATGTTGGGAACTTTCCATCTCCCTGAGTCCTTGTCAATGTTCTCCAAATAGAACTCAGTTATCAGAATAGGGGCAAGATAACCCTTAGGTGTTGACTCAGTTCCTGATGTTTTGACTCAGTCCCTGGGAAGGGGTCAAAGTAACCCACAGATGTTCCCCCTTACCCCACCTGATCTGGCAACCGCTCCCCCCCCCAGCTCAGACCAATCATTGCCAGTAGCCTTTTAAATAAGCCAATCATAATAGTTAAAGAAAAGCCCCAGACTCCCCCCCTTGTTTCTGTGGCTTTTTGCTTTGAAAGTAGCCTGTACCAGCCATTTTGGGTCTTTCTGGCTTCTCAAATGCTGAAAGACCCTGTCGTGACAGAATTAATTAAATCCTCTTGCTTTTACATCAACTGTGGTGTGAGGGTGATCTCTTGGGGTGAATCCTCCTTGGTAGTTGGACTTCAGGGTCCAAAAGTATCTCTTAACAAATAAAACACACATTTAAAAAAGAAGTGCCTCTTAGGCCAGGCTGGTGGATATATCTTAGCACTTGGGAAGCAAAGACAGGTGATGGAACTTTGTGTTCAGAATGTTCCAGACCAGCCAAGACTACAAGATGAGGTTCTATCTCAAAGAACATAAAAGTCACCTCTGATCTCTAAATCCCATGGGTGACAAATGTTTCTCTAATCAATTTCTAAAATGGAGTTGCACAACTTCAGGTGGCAAGAAAAAAAGCACAGCATCAGTTAGATTGAGATGCTGGCAGCCACTCTTGTCTCTTTTAGTAGCAGACCTTGGTATTGACACGATGTAGGGTTTTTTTGTTTTGTTTTGTGTGGGGGTTTGTTGTTTTGTTTTATTTGTTTTTTGAGACAGAACTTCTCTGTTTAGCTCTGACTGTCCTAGAATGCACTCTATAGACCTGGCTGGCCTTGAACTGAGTGCTGGGATAAAGGCTTGCACCACCACTGCTGAATTCCACCTTGGTTTTTGAGATAGGGATTTGCCTATCTCTACTTCCCCAAGCATTGGTATTTTAGGTACATGCCACATGTTCTTGATTTTTTTTTGTTTGTCAGTGTAGGTTCTGGGGCTCAAACTTAGGTCCTCACACTTGCTCGGCGAACACTACTGAGTGTTCTCTCGGCCCTTTTCAGGCAGAGTTGTGCTATGCAACCCCGGCTGACATTGAACTCACAATCCTGCCTAAGATCCCTAAGTGCAATAAGTGCAATAGGATTGCAGACATGCCCACCACATTCTCTGCACTTTCTCCTTCCTCCTGGCCGTAGGTAAAGCTGGGCCACTGGAGTATGGGTGTGAGGGAAAGGAAGCTCTAGCAGAGAGGTGCAGAGAGAGAGGATTTCTTTTGGTTTATGCATCTACACAATGAAAAGGTTATTTTAACAATTATGTAAAAAAAAAACATCTGAAAGCCCTGCTTCTTTGTCTATCATACTTCAAGTCATTTGGGTTTTCATTATTTCTAATGCAGACTTGCTTTTCTGTCTCTAACCCTCCACCTACCCATCTCATCTACCATAAAGACACCACAGTTGTCTTTTTAAAAGGAAATCAGTCAAGCAATGGTGGTGCACGCCTTTAATCCCAGCACTCAGGAGGCAGGTGGATCTCAGTGAGTTTGAGGCCAGCCTGGTCTATTGAGCTAGTTCCAGGACAGCTAGGGCTGTTGCACAGAGAAACCCTGTCTTGAAAAACAAAACAAAGCAAAAAAGTAATTATGGGGCTGCAGAGATGGCTCAGCAGTTAAGAACACTGACTGCTCTTCCAGAGGACTCGGGTTCAATTCCCAGCACCCACATGGCAGCTCACAACTGTCTGTAACTCCAGAATCCAACACCCTCACACAGACATACAAGCAGGTAAAACATCAATGCACACAAAATAAGTGTTTTTTTTTAAAGGTAATCATGCCAGATGGTGGCGGCGTACACCTTTAATCCCAACACTCCGGAGACAGAGGCAGACGGATCTCTGTGAGTTCGAGGCCAGCTTGGTCTACAAGAGCTAGTTTCAGGACAGGTTCCAAAGCTACAAGGAAACCCTGTCTCGAAAAAACCAAAAATAAAATAAAATAAAAAGGTAATCACAAGCTGGGTGGTAGTGGTGCACACCTTTAATCCCAACATTCTCGGGAGGCAGAGGCAGGTGGATCTCTGTGAGTTCAAGGCCAGCCTGGTCTACAAGAGCTAGTTCCAGGACAGCTAGGGCTGTTACACAGAGAAGCCCTGTCTCGAAAAACCAAAAATGGTAATCACAATAATTCTCTGAAATAAGTTACCACCACAACTGTTTCCCAAAAGAGAAAAATGTATGGACTTTTCAGTTACTCATTCAAAATCTTCCAAGATGACACCAGAATTCCACTCAGCTATCTCTTCACAGCATGCCTTGGGTACTGCTGCTTCCCATTTGTCTCCTTGTACTTGGACAAATGGACAAATACAATGTGCCAGATGCTGTTCTAGATACAAGTCAATGAAGGGTGAAACACAGACAAGGCTGTGAGAAGCCAAGTCTAATAAATAAGGAAAAGTCAAATAGTATACACACACACACACACACACACACACACACACACACACACACAATGCAAGGGCAACAACCAAGGATACAGAGGAAGACACAGGCTGTATCAGTTAGACCCTGCCCAAGTGAACCTGGTCAGGAAAGGACACCTTCACATACATGCTCTGTTCCTCCAACACTCCCTGGCTGCTTCCTTACAAATCAATAAATACTCTGACTTTTTCCTTTTCTGTTCTTGTTGTTCTTGTGTTGGTCTTCTATCTAGATAGCATGAACTGCCTGTCCTTCCCAGGTAGGCTCCCTCTGCTCTAGCCAGCCGCCGCTTCCATCACCAGCGACTGTGGTTTCTATTGCTACTCCCTATGCTGCCGAAATAACGTATTTTCTCTCTCTCTTTTATTTTCTTTTATTTTGGTTTTTCGAGGCAGGGTTCCTCTGTAACAGCCCTGGCTCTTCTGGAACTCACTCTGTAGACCAGGCTGACCTCAAACGCACAGAGATCTGCCTGTCTCTGTTCTCCCAAGTGCTGGGATTAAAGGTGTGCACCAGTGCCTGGCCTTATTCTTTTTTCTAATCCTTCTAACAGACCCATGCCTGATCCATCTAAGGGTTTTGTTTCTCTGGGTTTTTCTTCCTTTTATTCTTTAAAGATGCCCAGAAATCAGCACTGACTTCCTCATTATATCTGGATCCCGTAGCGCGAGCTTCAGAGTAAGTCCTCTCGGATCCTGTCCTACTCAGCTCTGCTTCACCAGACAGTTCAGCATGGTGACTCCTTCACTAAACTAACTTACTGATCAGGCCTGGCATATTCCCTGTTTTGCATCGTTACACATGTGTAGCACCTTCAGTCCTAAAGGCATCCCTGATACCATGCTCCAGATTCAATATCATTCCAGACTCGGCAACAACCCCAAAGCTTTATGTAGAAAAAATTGCATTTTCCAAAAGAGCCAGTCACAACAATATTCCCCATCTTAGCATCTCTTTTCAGAACGCTGTCTCTCTGTCATGTGCTGGAGTCTATTTCCTCTCTGCTTGAAATGGAGCCATCCTCGGGGCCATGAGAAGAGGCATTGCGTGGCATGCTCTCCTATCTGCATGTTCTCCAGCACACAGCTGTTCTGTGTTCAGTGTACAGAGTATCTGTACCTGCCTGCTCACCCCTGACAACCCAAACCACTTTCCCTAAGTAAACACCCAGGATCAACTGGCAAACAAGGATAACTGGCTCACCGTATCGCCCTGGAGCCCGCCTCGCTGCAGCTGAGTAGAGCAAAGGTGTCATTCCCCCACCAAACCTGCTCACACTGCAGATCCAGAAGCCAAGGATCATTTTAGACACTAAGCTTAACCAAACTGAATAGCCACTGTACTGATTCCACACTGAAAGTGCTGTTTCTCTTTGGATCCTGTTACATGTGTTGTCCACTGCCTTGCTTTGCGGTTATTCTTACACCGCTGTTATTAGTATCTCTGCCAGTCCTACCTTAGTGCCTCACACATAATTGGACCTTAAATAGGCCTAGGCTGATCGCCTGAAAGATGGTTAGGTATTCTTGCACTTTGGGGTTCATGGGAGTTAACTAAAGCTGAGTCAATAACCAACATGACTGAATTATTTTTAAAAATTATCAGATGTTCAATTCCTGGCATCGACATGTCAGCTCACAACCTTCTGTCACTCCAGTCCCAGGGGATCAGATGCCCTCTTCTGACTCCTATAGGCACCAGGTATGTATGTAATGTATAGACATACATGGCAGGAAAAACATCCATACACATGAAAGTTAAAAAGTGAAGTATAAATAAAAAGACTAATCCAGGATGGTGAACCGGCTTAGCAGTAAAAGCACCTTCAGCCAAACCTGGCCTCCTGAGTAGACACTTGGGACCCAACAGTAGGAGAAAATGGACCCCTCAAGCTGTGTTCTGACTTTCATATGTGGTCATATGACTCTCCTCTTGTCAACTGAAAACAAAAAGCTAGTCAGTCATATTCCTTGTTGACTGCTGTGAGGATATGGGAAGGCCCAAGTCTTTTTTCTTCCAAGTAACAAAGTGCCTGTTCCTACATTTACTTTACAGACGCCTTTCTGTTTTGGTGGTGTTTTGTTTGGCCCAGGCTAATCTCAAATTCCATTTTCCAGTCTCAGCCTCCCAAGCACACGTGTGCATCAGACCCTGTTCATACTTTAAAAAACAAAACAAATGTGCAAAAAAAAAAAAACTACGTTGTTTTGTTGTTTGTGTATGGCTATTTCGCCAGCATGTATATCATTGATCATGCGCATTTCTGGTACCTCTTGGGGGTCAGAAGAGGGTGTTGGATCCCCTGGACTGGGTTACAGATGTAGTTTGTGAGCCACCATGTAGGCGCTAGGAATCAAATTTTGACCGTCTGCAAAGGCAGCCAGTGCTCTCAACCACTGAGTCATCTCTCCAGTCCCTCATACTGTGTCCTTATCAGACCCACTTTGCCCTTCTTTGCTCCCCCTTTGTAAATAAATAAATAAATAAAGAATAGAATAGAATAGAATAGAATAGAATAGAATAGAATAGAATAGAATAGAATAGAATAGAATAGAATAGAATGATTGAAACTTTGGAGAGCAGGTGTCCGGCACTGGCAGGACTCCCCTTGGGCTTCTAGACGGCTCTTTGGTGGGTCTGTTGCACATCACCTGCCTGGCCTGCGCCTGGGCCTTGGGCTGTCCAGATCTTCTCTCTGCAAACACAGGCACGAGCTGGCTGGGAGCCGAGTGGCGTGGGTCGGAGTGCCCGGGGCCACCTGGGGACCACCCCGGGCTCGGCCGCCCTCCCTCCTGCCAGCTGCGCTGTCACTCACGGTCACGCAGGCAGCACCGGATCCCCAGGTCTCTGCGCCGCCTCCGGTCCAGGTAGACGCAGTAGCCGAGCAGGGCGACAGCACCACCCGCTGCCAGGGCCGCCAGGAGGCCGAAGCCTAGGCGGACGCTGGGCATTGGGCTGCCCAGCGAGCGTTGGGCGCGGGCAGGCCACGCGTGAGCAAACCCAGGGTCCCGAACCCAGGGCCACAGGACTCGGAATTCCGAGGCTTCAGACAAGCCCCATTTCCGCGGCAGGGCATACCTGCGCGTACTTTGGCTGCTTGGGTTTCCCTTGTGCTTCAGTTGGTCCCAGGACAGGGCGGGTTATCTCAGGCCAGCACTAGTCAGTGCTAGCCAGCCTGCTCTCCTGGGTGCCTGGAGCACTGGCAATCCAAGTTCTCCACCCACCATAAGTCAGGAGAGGGAAAGAATTCGGAAGCAATAGTCTAGGAGACAACAAGCAAACAAAATTGTTATTCTGTTGGTGTTTTTTTATATGTTTGTTTTATTTAGCAAAAACAACAAAATAGTCAGATTTTCCCCAAATAGCATAATCTAGATAAAGAGAAGAAACTAAATTTTGTTTTTCTTTTTACATATATGAATGGGTGTTTTGCTTGAATGTATGTATGCCATGATACCTATAATGGTCTGGTCATCTTCAAACTAAGATTGTATAAACAGTAGATCCCAAAGCATGGTTCTACACTGAATACTAACTGTCCCGTTCAACAGCTCTAAATAAATGGCTGATACACAATGAACTACACATATTTAAAGTATACAACTAGGAAGTTCTGACACACATCTACAGCCTGAAACTATCACTAAAACCAAGAGAGCGGTCATATCCACTGTTTGCATGGTGCCACCTCCTTCAGTCCTGGTACTCATAATTTGTGTCAGCCTCTAGTTCAGTGGTTCTCAACCTGTGGGTCACGAACCCTTTGGGAGTTGAATGACCCTTTCACAGGGGTCGCCTAAGGCAATCAGAAAGCACAGATATTTACATTACGATTCATAACAGCAGCAAAACAACAGTTATGAAGCAGCCATAAAAATAAATTACGGGTGGTCTTTTTTTTTACCAATGCTTGAGTAAGATTAGCTATAATCCAACCAAATAACAAATACTCCGCAGCGGTGGCCATTCTGATAAGCTACAGCATTCATTCATTACAAACAGTGCTACAACTTGTCTGTGTCCTTTTTGATAGATACAATGATAATTACTACAGAATTCCTAAAAGTGGGCTACCTTGATAAAAATCTATGTGCACTTGAAGTATCAGCAAGATAATTACCCAAATCCCTCCCAAATACTTACATTCATGCTCCCATCATCACTGAAAAGGTTTCAGGAAATGCCGACTAGAATTCTGCATACCCTTTGACCTATATATTCCAGTTTCATAAATGTATGCTACCAGATTTTTATGTAATTAATGGTTAAGAGGGCTAGAGGTTGGAAACAAGATTCTCAAAAATGGGAAGTAACTACCAATCAACATGAAATGCTGTTTGTCCACAGCAGACGGGCCAGTGAGAACAGCTAGCTTTAGTGACCAGAGGGATGAGGTGACATCCCCAGCATCGGGGTCCCTTCTGGTGGCTGCTGGCTCCTGGGCAGCTGGCAGGTGCCGCTCTTCGTCCTTCAGCACCTTCAAAGTTCTATGACTGGCTGGATGTTGGTCTACTCATGGGCACCACTGTCTCCATCTTCCTGTGGCTCCACTCCATCAAACAACATAATGATGTTGGACAGTATGATGGAAGAAATGGATTGGAAGCAACTTCAGAAGCAGTAATGGAGTGTGCCGTGTTTTAGTGACCAGAGCAGTTCCTCCGCAGCCCCTGACACACCATGCTGTGAATGGAAAGTTGGATGCAAATATATTAGACCAAGTCAGCCCTTCTGTAATTTTCACTGAGATTAAAAACAATGTAAAAATACTATGATGTTTAAGACAATTTTTATATTTACTTATTTGTGTATGTGTGTGCGCACATGATTGTGCCAAGGTGTTGGTGTGAAGGTCAGAGCTGCTGGGTCTCTCCTTCACCATGTGAATCCCAGGATCCAACTCAAGTTGTCAGCCTTGGTGGCAAGCATCTTTACCTACTGAGCCATTGCCACAGACCTTACTGGTGTTTTTCAAAAGTTACTATGTTTCTTATTTCAACTTTGGTATATTTTTATTCACAATGCAAAAGACATGAAAGTAAATCCATCAAGACGTGTAGAGTGGTGATTTCTGGGCCAATGAGGCAAGCTAGCACAGTGAGTCGGCGTGCCATTCAAAATACTAGGAAAATGTTAACAGATGATCTAAATTTCACCCTCCCCATCAACCAAGTTGTGAGGTCATCATATGTTAGCATTTGACAGTTTAAAAGGAAAATATAAATAATAGAAAGTAACAAGAAATTAAAAGATAAAAATTGGCTGTGCTTAATGATTCATGCTTGTAATCCCAGCATTTACGAAGATGAGGCAGGAATTTGAGTTTAAAACTACAGGGCTGGGGCTGGAGAGATGGCTCAGTGGTTAAGAGCACTGGCTGCTCTTCCAGAGGTTCTGAGTTCAATTCCCAGCAACCACATGGTGGCTCACAACCATCTGTAATGAGATCTGGCGCCCTCTTCTGGTGTACGGGCATATATGGAGGCAGAATGTTGTATACATAAGAAATAAATAAATAAATATTAAAATAAATAAATAAATAAATAAAACTACAGGGCTACACAGTGAAGACCTGTCTCAAGAAAGAAAGATGGCTCACTGGGTAAGAATCCTTGCTGTGGAAGTGGGAAGACCTGAGTTTGGATCATAGCACCCACAGAGAAAGCTGGACAGGGTAGTGTGTGCATCCATAGCACCACGTGAGGGCTGAAGACAGGAATGATTGCTAGGGTTTGCTGGCCACCAACCTAGGTTCAGGCCGAGAGACCCGGTGTCAAAGGAATAAGGCAGACAGAGCAGGACACAGAAGGACCTTCTCTGGCCTCTGTACACATATGCACACATGGACATACATATGCATACACTACACATACACAGAAAAGAAAACAACGTCAACAAGCCCCAAACAACGAACCTAACTAGCCCCTAAAGATAGCATGGCAATTCTTCCTGCATCTCGAGAGCTCAGGTTGCCGATGCTCTGAGAGGGTCCTGGCCTAGCAAACCATCTTTCCTAAGAAAGGAAGTCAAAGAGCAGGGGTTGGGGGAATGAATGCATTTAACCCCAGCAGTCAGAAGGCAGAGGCAGGAGGATGTCTGTCAGTTCAAGACCAGCCCTGGCCTCCACAGTGAGTTTCAGGATAGTAGGGCTATGTAGAGAGATCCTGCCTCAAAAAACTAAAAAGTAACGCTACCATGGGAACAAATAATGGATTTGGAAGTCAGAAGAAATGGCTTAGCTCTGTTATTTATTACTGTCTGGACAACTTGAAACCTGTTTTCTCATATTTCAGAACAAAACAGCAATGCTCTCATAGAACTGAGATCGTATGGAGTGTCTTTCCACCGGGAATTGCGCATTAGGCAAGCACTCTACCTCTGAGCACATGAGTGTGGACTTTTGATTCGCCGGCTGCATTCACTCCCCCAGTTACCTTCATCTTCCCGTCAACCATTTCACTGGGTCTTTAAACTGTTAAATCCGAGTGAATGGCTGCCTTGAGCCCATTCCCTGTTGTTATAACTGAATGTGACTAACTGGATCATTTTAAAAGGTTTATTCAACCGAAGATCTACAGTACAGGAGGCTCACTGATTAAGTTCATAGCTAATGAGCATCGTGTGTTAAAAGGGAACTGGTGATACCCAGGTGATAGAAGGCACATACTAGAAAAAGTCAGGCCAGTGTAGCGGTGGAGGTGGGGTACAGAGGGATGGAGAGAAACGGGGGGAGTCGGTGAGGGAGCAGGGGTGGGGGCATGCACACACATGGATGCATGCTTTAAACCAACTTTTATAAGACTCACTTTAAGGATAGCACCTTAATCCATGAACGGTTAGGCTTGTTGATTGCAGCGTAAGTCACCTGGAAAAGATCCCATTTGGTCAGTGTCCTGAGTACTGGGATTTCAGGTTCATCCCTACACGAGCATTTTTGGTGCCATGTGTTAATACTTCTCGGCAAATTGATTTCACTGTCTGATTGGTTGTGGACATTCAAACTGGAGCAATAGTAAAGCACAGAGAAGAACAGCGTCACCCGGCTTTAGTCTGCGTTGGGGGTGTGCTGAGCAGCAGGCAAATGCCCTGTATCTGCTCCTCCAAGTCTTTCCTTTGCTCTACCACCTTGAATTTGGTATTCATTTTTTCTCATGTATATATACACATGTGCATGTAAGAATATATTATATAATTATGTACAATAAAATATTACATATATTCTCCAAACATATATGCGCATATTATAATATGTATCATAAACATACACATTTTAATATGCATGTTATGATGTATATTATATATGCACATGATATATACAGATATATTACAATCTATACATAGACATAGATATTATATTTGGAGACAGGTTTCAGGTCAACCAGGCTGACCTCATATTATGTGGCCAAGGATGAACTTGAACTTCTGATCCTCCTGCCCACATCCAAGTGCAGAGATGACAAGCGTGTATCACATGGTTAGTCTCCCACTCCTGTTCTCTACGATTATACACACAAAGTCAATGTATTTTGAATACTCAAATTCCATAAAAATTATGATTGTAAATATAGTTTGGCAACTTGCTTTTCCCGACTTGCCTATGAGGTTTAAAATCCATGTTGTCATATTAAGCTTGTTCATTTATTTTAACTGTTCTGCAGTATTGCCTTTAACTAATGCCATGTCTTATTTATCTGCTCTCTTTACTAATGGGTATTTGAGAGTTCCCTTGGCTTAGTGACAGAGGGTATGTCCAGCATGCACAAGGCCCTTGGGTCCAATCTGTAACACTGGAAAAAAAAGTGGGGGGAGCTCTGCCACACCAACTCCAGTGTCGTCTGTGTGTGACATGACATACGTACGGGAGCTACGTGTCCTATGGGACTAGGCTTCCTGGAGGTCAATGGCAGATGGCCTGGTATTAGCCACCGCTGAGGCATAGACGGGTTTCTCGATTAGTTGGCTATGCGGGATATGGCCTTTGCACAATCTCTTTTAATAATGATAGTCTTTATATATGAAAGACAAGGATCATCTCTTCAGGAACAGCTCTGGGAATAGGGAAGCACAGTATGGGAATGTATAAGTCTACAGCAGAACCTTTGTCATACACAGGGTGTATGATGAGCAAAGGAATAGATGGGTTAATGTTGATGGACAAAGAATATTATACTTTGAACTTCATGGATAGGCTTGCTAGATCCCAACCCCCATGGTGTCTCCTGCATAAGAAGGTAGAAAA